TGGACTATTGGCAGGCAATGGAAGCACTTGAATTTTATTAGCATTGAATCAATCGCTAACATCATGCGCTTTATGACACGGCGCATTATCTTGCTGGAAAATAAATCCATCTTTCAACTGCCATAAATCAATGCTAGGAATAAACGAGTTTTCCCAAGTTTCGACGTAGCTTTCTTTGTTGAGTCTATCATCGAATAAATGAAAAACGTCAACTCCACAGGCACTCATACAGGCCCAAATGCCTATTGAATCACTGCCTTGTTTTGTTCGTTTTAAAATGCATGATTCATCGAACCGTTCGCTTGGAAGTCTACACAAAATTACGCAACCTTTTCTTTTGTCTACCTCAACGTTCATTCCATTACTAAAGACCACACGGCTTCACTGATATGCTGATATGTTGACCAATTTTTATGTAGTTTGCACCCCTCTTTCCTGGTAAATTTTTGTTTTTTATTTAAGCGTGGTTTTTTTGCAGCAGCACGCCATAAATAATTTAAAATTGTGGAGGACCCTTCGCACAGTTTTAGAGCTTGCTTTCAAAACATTTGACAGTGTCTATTTCGTAGACAAGTCTGTAGGTGATGCTTGTCTGTTTTCTTTCATTAATCTCACTAAATTTTATTGCGTCCAGTCCTATAACATTCATTATTTGACCCGGTCTCTTTGTATCGTTAAATTATATTAATAATGCAAGAGTGAGACCTTCCGAGCTTTTCTGCTATTTGCCTGATGCTATAGCGATCTTCTTTTAATACAAAACCCGCGTATCTGTCTTTTTCTTCGATCTTTGCACGCATTTTGCAATATTTTTATATCCTTATTGCAATTTAAAAATTAAATGTTTATATGATATCAAAACTTAGGTTTCGACATTTTATTTTATAGCCAACGTAATAATCAATTAAGGCAGTTAAAAAAAAATAATCGATTATTATTTTTAATAAGTGCAAACTAAAGGTTTGAAAGTGGTCGTTAAATTTTGTCCAATTTATTTAAAAAAGATTCAAAAGTACTCATCAGTTTTTGAATAAGTTAAACGCTACTTAATTAGAATTAGATTTAAAAAATTATACCATTTTAATCCGTATGTTTTAATTAACAAGATATTAAAAACAAAAACTTAATATGTCAATTAAAATCTTCTTAATTTCGATATAACGATTAAGAAGATTTTAAAATATATATATATATATATATATATATATATATATATATATATATATATATATATATATATATATATATATATATATATATATATATATATATATATATATATATATATATATATATATATATATATATATATATATATATATATATATATATATATATATATATATATATATATATATATATATTTGAACTGTAAGAACCAAGATTACCTGAAAGCAGGTCTACAATTACAAAACTTCTAATAAGTCCAGGTTGTGCATCATACCATGGATCACCCATGTAAACTCTTACATTATTAAAATTTGTCAGAACAGTGTTTTGCGTGCAGTAAACTGTACTATTTGCTACATCAATAACAAATATGTATTGATTTATAATATTTCTTTGTGATATTTTAATTTTTATCCACTTATTGATTGGTAGTGTTATATCTGAATAAAAGTAGCTATCAGCTGTACCGTTAATAGCTGATACAAAGTACAATTTGTTGTCAACCGATACCCATAATGCTGGTGTTCTGTCTCCATAGTTACCCATATTTGAACCATTTGTTAAATGAATAATACTTGCCCATTTGTATATATATGTAGTTAGCATAACATCAAATGATAACTCGTATTCTGTTGGAAAATTAGTCAAAGTAGTCAACAGCTGGTTTTTTTTTATTTCTGTAGTGTTTACCATTGAGAATAGTTCTACTGTATAAAATAAAAATATAAAAAATAATAGTAGTTACAATTATAATACAGAAAATATTTTTTTTAAGAACTCAGTTTTGTGGAAACAAACTATTAAACATATAGGCACCAATTTTTATATTTAGTTGTAATCATTTGTTTTGCAAATTGTTTATTGCTTTTCAAAAATTAAATATTTTTGTTGTTACCCCTCTTACTTTCTTTATTTTTAAATCAATTAACTAATATAAAGAAATGCAATACTATAGACAAATTATCTACTTGGGTTACTATCGGACTAAAGAAGTCTTTAAAACTAAAATAAAAGTTGTTTAATAAATAATAAAAAGCAATCCGAAAAACACAACAAATTACAAACAATTCAAATATCTGTTTGCAAAAACTCCACAAAAATGCTAAATAAAATTTATATTCTAAATTGCTTACTCAGCTTAAACATAACATAAACGTGTGTGGGAAATATTGAAAGAAATTACAGGAAAGCAAAAAGTAATTTTAACCTCTCTTTTTTTTGAAATAAAGTTGGAAATAAAATAACTAATGTTACTAATGAACTAGCGATAAATTAACAATTTTTTTCCAAAATATTTTTAACAAATTATAAATAAACCGACGAACTTACATTTTACTTCTTTAGTTAACATTTAAACTCTTTACATTTTACAAACCTAACGCTTAAGAAATTTGATTCAGCTTGTAGATCGTTAAAAAAAATTAAAATCAGTAGTATCTAACGCTATAAATGGAAATATTGTGATAGACTCTCATGACGTCATAAAACATATTCTTCACAAAATTTTTCAATCATCTATTAAACAAGGTTCTTTCTCAGACTGAAAATAGCAAATGTAATTCGTATTTTTAAAACAGGAGATCCGACCAATATAATAAATTGCAAACTTATTCCAGTTTTTTCAAAAATATTAGAAAGAATAATGTATAACAGAGTTTACACATACGTATTTACCAATAAACTCCTTTTATGAAAATCAGTTCGGTTAAAAAAAAAAAAAAACTCAAGCGAACATGCTATTCTGCAATTAACACTTTGTATTAAAGAATATTTTGAAAATAAAAATTTTACACTTCGTATTTTTATTTACCTGTCAAAAGCTATTAATTCGGTCGATCATAAAATTTCGCTTAAAAACTTAAATGTTATGGCATAGCAGGTAAAATTTTAAATTGTTTCAAAAGTTATCTCTCAATATCAACATTACTTTTCATAAAGTTGCAAAAAACATTGGAATTCTATACAAATCTAGAGGTATTTTTAACAAAAAGCAATTAACACAATTATATTACTCTATCATTCGTTTTCCAATCAATGATCGAAATATTATATGGGAAAGCACACATAAAACTAAACTTAAATCTCTTTATCGGTATCAGAAACACGCAGCACGCATTATAAATTTTTATTTTTTTTTTTCAAACTCTAAACTGCTTTTTAAAGAAACGGATGCCTCAAATATTGATCAACTTAATATTTATTTAATGTTTTGTGTTTTATGTACAAATGTTAAGAACATACATCCCCCGATGTATTTGTAAAACTTTAAAAAATTAAACCCGGAACAAATATAACCTAAGTAATAATAGCGTTTTAGAAAAACCTTTTTGCAATAATAAACAAGATCATTTTTATTTTATCGAGCACCTTTTTACTGGAATGAAATTGTACGACCTAATTTTGTTGTTTCATTTAAATTGACCTATTCCTTTTTCAAACAATGTATTAAAAAATATAATTTTTTAAGAAAAAGTATTCTTGATGCTTTTGATTTTTTAAAAAATATTTTCAGTTGCTATACTATGCTTAATTATTTAATGTGTTTTATTTTTAATACTAATTATAGTTATATTAAGTATGTAGAGTATCAAATTTATGATATATTTAATTACTATATACTCTTGATATATCTTTATTTATATATAGTATATAGTTGTTTTTATTGCAAAAGAAAATAGAATATTGTTAAGGGCTTTGTGATAATGTCCTAACGATCTTTTTGAAGTCCTGCCCGCATAATATTATAAATTCTAATATAAATAATATTATACGCATATAAAATGAAAATATTTTAAAAAACTAAAATATATAATGATACTTTTAATGCAACACAACAGGGCTGTTTGTTATTTATACCAAGTTTTATAAAATATTGCAATATTAGTAAAAAACATACCATATATTAATATTATTACAACATGAAAAGTTTAAATTTTAATTTTTATGTATAGTGGGCTGAATATTATTTTAACGGTAAATAAATTAATTCTGATCTTTTTCAACTAAAATACTTGAATATTCAACAAATACTCTCTGTTCAATTATTTTTACTGTTGTTAAAAATTTTTGTCAATTAAAGGCTCATATAAAAAAATTATTTAACAAACTTAATACATTTGGAAAAGCAAAACTATTATCACTAATTTTATTTTTCAAATGGTTGCTATTTGAATTAAATTTGAAAACATTTTTTCCTAATTGTTTTTTTTTTTATTATTATTATTATTTTTGTGTTTTGTCGTTAAAGAATGTTTGCATTACATGTACGTATAAAAAAATTACTCGCTGCAGCAAGAAAAAGGCAGATTTTTAATGTATCGCGACTTTAATGTTGTTGACTAGTTTGTTGATTTTAATATCAAATCTTTAAAAACTTGTTTTTTCTTGAGAAAACTCAAATTTAATTAATTTAATTTAACGTCCTAAATAACAATTAAACACTTTTTCATAATCCATTGGCTTAATTATATATTTAAATAGCTGCATTAAAAAGCTTAGTTTGTTTTCACTCATTAATAAACAAGTTAAAAAAGTTTAGTTTAGCACGTCAAAATAAAGTTTTCTATTTAAATGAAGTTTTTTAAATTTACAACTTTCCTCAGATTTTCGAAAAGTGAGTAAAGCCTGAAAAAGGAAATTTTGCATATAAGACAAAAAAGTAAGTAAAGACCATTAGAAAAGAGGTTGCTTTTTTAAATATTGTTCATTCCCAACAAGGCTGCAAATAACCCCGAATAAATTAGAATTACGAAAAAATAAACAATTGAGATAAAAATTAAAAGAAAAAAACTAGATGAATAAATGTTTTTATAGCAAGCTTTGACACTTAAAGTGAAAAAATATGCCTTTGCAGAATGATGAGTATTAAAAAAGTTTTAAAAAGTGCGAGTAAACTAAAAGGATCAGGAATACATATATCAATAAAGATTATTCATTGAAAACTGCATCTTCAGGAAAAATTACTTGAAAAAAAGAAGATACATAAGTAAAAAAGTATGTTTTTGGTTGTACTTTGCGATAAATTATTTGTAAAAGAATTCAGAAAATTACCCACTTAACTTTAATTACTTTGTACTTAATTATATTGTTAGTGAACCTTTGTTTTTGTTATGGAATATATGAACTTTTGTAAAGTGAGCTTTAAGGCTTTCCAGACAAACAAAAATTTCCTTAATGAGAATTATTCAGATCCAGATGTTAATTTGCTTAACACTGATAAAATAAATAGCAACGTAAGCCTTTTTTATTATAATTTTGATATTTCTAATTTTACTGCTGATATAGATATGAATGAGTTCTTTATTTTACACCTAAATATTAGGAGCTTTCAAAAATGATTTGATAAATTTAAAGATTTTTTATATAGGAATAACTGATCTATTTCTGTTCAGTTTTCAACAGTACCGGAATCTTTAACAAAAAACGAGATTCCCTCTTACTAAAAAAAAGGTATTTCAGCTTTTTTTTATTAAAAGTATTTCTGTTTTTTGAAAATACTCAGTTTAAATATACAAAAACTTGCAGATATATATGATAAATATATATGTAAAAATTTATGTCTCCGTAAACTCAAGACTCGGTATTTTTAAAGATTTTATAATTACATTCAAATTCTAAAGCGTTTGTATAATTATATATATATATATATATATATATATATATATATATATATATATATATATATATATATATATATATATATATATATATATATATATATATATATATATATATATATATATATATATATATATATATATATATATATATATATATATATATATATATATATATATATATATATATATATATATATATATATATATATATGTATATATATATATATAATTATCTCGATGGCATAAAATTGTGTGACAGCCATAGGCTGTGAAACAATTTTATGTCATCAACATAGTTTGACAAGGCAAATTGTTATATAAAAAATCTGAAAGTTTATTTATATATGCAGGGTTTAAATTAATAAAACGGATTTTAAATGATCAGAAATTATAAAACTATTTTAGTTATAAAGAAACAAAAAAAATGAAAACTGAAAATGTAAACTCAAAACTGAAAAAATAATATTTTTATTTTCAAAGTTTTTTAAAAGCGAAAATATGAAAAATGAAAACAATAATATCAATTTTATAAAAATTTTAAGAATTAAGTGGGTTATATTAAATGATGAATTTGTTTTTGATTTAAAGATTTTGTTAAAAATGTAAGAATGCTAAAAACTACTAAAAAAAATATTTTTAAGGCAGCATATTTCTTTGATCCCTTATGTTTTTTAACACCGATAACTTTAAGATTAAAAACTATTTTTTAATTAATTTGTATCCACTTTTATCTCTAAAAGTATATGTGTAGCTATAAAAGTGGATAGGATGCAATAGCAGCAGCTGAAATAGAATTCTTGGGCATAATTTTCAAATGATCTTGATTTTTTAAGTTTTGTTAGAATTTCAATATTTGTGTCAGTGAGAATTAATGAGAGTAGTATGCGTGTTCAATTGCAGGGATTTTGCGACATTTGCAAAATAACTCATTGAGCAGTTATATATTTAGTTGTAGAACAAGTTAAGGAGTGTATTGAAAGTTTTTAGTTTCAAAGTCACGTGTTTTGCTCTTAAAATAGTTAAATATACCTAGACTAGAGCTATTAGATTGTGTGTTACTAAGCAGGCTTGTAAAAGTAGTGCTAATAGTTTTGAGTAGATGAGTATAATTTGATGATGTAAGTTGCGGTAGATGAGGTGGTATTGTATTGGATTAAAGGAAAAGATTGAACATGAAAACCATGGGTTGAGAATAGTGTGAATTCCATTAGAAAGATTGATTACAGAGAAATAAATCATATTAATGGATTATTGAACCTAGGTAATATTTTCTACTCGAATAAACTATTTTTTTGATTTAAGACATTGGTTAAAAGGACCATAACTTTTTTAAATATAAATAAAAAGATTAGTGATTTTAAAGTTTACATCAAGTTTCAGAATAATATTATGTCTCGTGTAAAAGAGGAGAAAATGTAGTTGTTTGTAATGTTGTTTTGGAATCATCAAGTTTGAGAACTTTTGTTAACGCATGTAGATTTAGTCTATTTGGAAAATTAATTATTAGTACTGGATATGTATTTTAACTTATTAGCAATTTATTAAAAATAATTTAAGATTCCATTAAACAAACAAGTAGCTTTGACAACCGATGGTTACAAATTTGCACTGAATAAATGGATTAGAGAAAAGCAAATAATTTTACGAAACGCTAAAAGATTTGATTAACTGAAAAACTCATTAAAGTTATTTAATAACAAAGACAAGCTACTACAATTATAAGGAAGATTTAAAAACGCTAATTTAAACTTCACAGAAAAAATATCTTTTAATATTACAAATACAATCTTTTATTATTAAAAAATGGACAAAAAAGTTGGTTAACAGTATAACTTATTTTTAACTGTCATGAACAAGTTTTGCATAATGCAATTGAATCAACGTTATATAAAGTACGATCCTAATTCTGGATAATAAAAGGAGGATTGACAATAAAAACTTATAATGATAATGAACAACGTGGAAGAAATTTAGAGGAAGAAAATTTTTATCACGTAGCAGTCCAAATTTACCTGATTTTTGATTTCATAACTTATAATCATTTCAATAAACTGACTTAGATTATACAAGACCATTATTTATAAAAACAGTTAAAAAGGGCGCTGCTTGTAAGGTCTATGTTTTGCTATTGACTTGCGCGTCTAGTCCAGAAATCTATTTGGAAATGATTCCTGACAAGAAAATTCCAGCATTTATAAGAGCTTTCAAGGGTTTTGCAGCTTGAAGAGTTTTTTCTGATGGTATGATTTCGAATGAATTTAACACCTTTATAACTTTATATAAGAAATTATATCTTTCAATAAGAAGTTTATATCTTTAAATAATAAGAAACTTAATATTAGAAGTTGAAAAATTTACGATGAAAAATGGTGTGCAACATTAATTCATTCAATCATTTTCCCCATTTCTACAAACATATAATTAGATCGGTTAAATTACAAAGAAGACAAACGGAAAGACTTTTTTATATTACAAAAAGCTAGAAACGATACTTTGTGAAATTCAATTTGCGATAAACAGTCGTCCACTATTTTACATAAACGAGAATGTTACTGATTAAGCATTAACAATTACCATATATTGTTAGGACAAAATATTCATAATATAATGAATGGAATTCATCTTAAATAAAGTTATACAGGAGTTATACAAGGGTGATTAAAAACAAATAGAATATATTTAAATAAAATAGTAAAAATATATTGCCTTCAACAAACTTTAAGTTATTGGTATTTAAATTTACAAGTAAACTAGTTTTTATAGTGAAAAAAGTGTCACTAAATTTCAATTTACGACATAAAAATAGCCTGATAAAACAAATGTATATCGTTTAAAAAATTGATTATTTAGTGTGTGTAAACATATATATATATATATATATATATATATATATATATATATATATATATATATATATATATATATATATATATATATATATATATATATATATATATATATATATATATATATATATATATATATATATATATATATATATATATATATATATATATACATATAGATACTTGTATAGTTTTTCACTTACGGAGACCGATTTTACAAAAAACAAACACTTACGACGATATCAGCATTATTGGGGATATGTTAGTGTACCCGTTAATTTTTTGTCCCCGTAAACATTATTTTTTTTGTAAAAAAATGTACCTATAAGAAACTATGAAAACGAAATAGATAATAATAGAGAACGAAAAGTACATAAGTAGACTATCAAATAGTAAGACTCTCAAGGGAGTACTGCTACATCGACTGAGGGTTTGGTTAGACTAGGCATCAAGGTCACGCTTAAGGTTAGGGTTACGGCAAGGTTTAAATTTGGTTATGTTATGCAAATAAACGTTTTTGTAAATAGATGAAGTTAAAAAGAAAATATAATATAAAATAAATAAATAAAAGTTACAAAAACTAATATAAAAATTATATTTTTTTTAATAAAATATTAAATTTATATATGTATAAATAAATATAGAAATAAAATATGAATTGAAAAAAATATATAAATGTGATAAAATTATTATAAAAAAGTAAAAAAAAGCAACACAACGGCAACAAAAAAGCATGTTTTAAATTAGTTGTTTAGTCAAATCCTTGAAATTTCTTGGTCAATTTTTACGTGATAAGGAAAATAAAAGACATGAACTTTAAAAAAATTTGAAAAATCTGTGCTTTGTTTGAGAATAGTAGTTACAAACTAAAGGAGAAATGCTATAAAATTGATGATTTCAACACAAACAGTTAGTGCTTGAAAAGGAAGCTGGTTAAGTGTAGAAACGTTGAAGATAGAGAAGTTTGAATTTGCGGTCGTAAAAGAATCACTATACCATACTTGAGAGAAAGATCAAATTATATAGTATTTACAGATAGAAAAGTTCTTGCAAGATTATACCTATAGATCGAGCAAGACAGGGCATTAACATTTGTCTTAAAATGATAAATAAACACTTGTTGGAGCAGGAACTAAAGGCATACAGACCATGGAAAAAGCTAAAACTATTGAACAAATCGAAGCCTGCCAGGCATAGAAGTGCCGTTAAGCATGAAAGTTGGACGTAAGAAGATTAGTCCAAAATTATCAATAAATTAGCTTTTTTTAGATCTCTGATTGTATTGACTTTTTCATTTCATTCAGTTTTATCATATTTACTTAATAATATCGGTAGGTGTTAACTTTTTTATCATGACTATTTATGTTATGTTTGTAGCATAATTTCATTGGATATTATCACGCATTTTTTTGTTCAGGTAATACTTTTACATGAATCAACATTTGCTGTGTTGGATGATTGAGTCAGACTTTAAGAAGAAGGACTGGAGAAAAGTTTAAGCCTTAACGTTTTAAGAAACCATTGAAGTTCCCCACTAAGATATATTTTTACAGGATTGTGCTCCTTGCCATATTGTCAAGTTATCAATGAGATGGTTCCGAGAAAATGGATTCTCTGTACTCAAATGACCTGTGAATTCACCAGATATGAAACCAATTGAGAATTTATAGGGCATTTTTAAGAAAAAAATACACTGAGTTTTAATTAATACAAAAGTACACCTGATAAAGAGGTAATCCTCGTTAAGTTCCGCGATAAAATCATAGGCATTCCCATGGGAATAAAAGCATTGAAAGCTGCAAAGGTGGTCGAACCAAGTATTCAAAACATTGATATACCAGGAATATATAATTTGTAACTTTATTTTTATGTTACGATTGTTTTTAATGTAAAAATGTTACCATTGTTTTTAATGATTTTTATTTAAAAACTGAAAAATTCATAACAAACCGAAAATTCCATAACAATTTATTTAGACTCCTTTAAAGAACCTTTAGAGATTTTGTAACTTTGTCTTTATTTACTGATTGAAAAGTTGATTTAATAATATGTTGCACTATAGGCTTGAAATTAAGATAAAAAATTACTGCACATCAATGTTTTACCCTACCTGTATGCTACATAGTTTGTTTTCACAATTGTTCAACGTGTTCTAAATCAGAAATACTTTTTAATTCTAATATAATTGAAACTTACAACACGATTTGTTTTGTAACTGAAGAAGCAGATATACAATATACTCCTAAAAAAAATATTTTTTATAAAATGTACATTCAAATATAGAAAAATAGTTAATTTTAATTCTAAGCTTTCGTATATAAATTGCTTTGTGTATAAAGAACATTAAATAAATACGTTTTCTACTTTTATATAAACTCTGTTGCAATATGTTTTGAGCTGTGTAACACTCCTGTCAATTCTAAAAATCTACTTACAGAGTATATTATCTTTTAAATTACTAACTAATATTAATAAAATGAAACAAAAAAGCACCATTATTAATGTCCACATTTGGGCAAATCTTTTTCAAGCGGTTTAGCACGTCATTTGCTTTAGAAAAATTCGCCAAGGGTTGAAATGCAAACTGAAAGAAAAAAAAAGTTCTTGGTTTTATTTCTTGTGTAAAGTGAAATAATGCTTACTTTGTTGTTCAATTTTTTTTATATAACGTTTTTTCACAAATAAAAAAAGCATACTATAAAAAATGTATAATTAAAAATATAAAAAGAAGGTGTGAGGGAACAAAAAAATGAATACATAATTTAGTTTTAAAATTAACTTTTCACGTAAAACGGCAAGCTATTTTAATTAGCATAAACTTGTCTAGACAAAACACTTTTCTATTTAATTTCCACAAAGAATATTTAATTCTTGTTAAACTTTAATTATAGAAAAGTCAATTTTAAATAACAGCAAACAATCTATTATGAAAAATAGCAATAAAATATTTGCAAATAGAACCACGTGTTAACTTCCACAAATAAAAAAAAAATTTATTGCAACACGTGACATGCAGTCGATGAAAGTAAATATGGAAAATAAAAAAAATAGCTTTTACAATAACAAAATGCTTTATATGGAATAGAAAAAATAAAACAAAAAAATAAAAAATGCTGTAACAAAATTTTCAAAATGAACTCATTAAAAAAAAAATTTCAATCAAAACTCAATACGAATATTCCATAGTTTTTTATGTAACTTTTATTCACAAATAAACAAAGCATAATGTAAAATATGCATAGTTTAAAATAAAAAAAAAAGGTGTGAGGAAACATAAAGAATCACTTATTATCTCGATTTAAATAGATGGTTTTTATAACTCTTTGACAAGCACTTAAGGTATAAGACCCCTCAAAATTCCTAAAAAGTTCAAAAAAAAAATAATTTGTGTATTTCTTACACGAAATTTATCGCTGAATACAAATTTGAAAACATTTTTTAAAAATAAGGCTTAGTTCTTGAGATATAAAAGGTTTCCTTCAACTGGGTAAATTTGATCTGCTTAGCAACACGTATAGCAACAGGTTTTTTATAAGAATTGCCAGCTATTTAGTTATTTTTGTGTTATTTAATAAACTTTTTCAATAATGGGTAAATTATGCAGAGTTAAACAAAGTACTCAATGTAAAAAATCCAGAAGATTTCATGGAAATAGGTATACCAAAAATTTGGCAAACAATTCAACTTTATTAGTAGCTCCTGTTAATAACAATGTTACCTGTTCTGAAAATGACCTTATTTTCAATAATAGTTCATTAGATTTATCCATATCCTCGAAAAAAGTTGATAACATATAAGTGTACTTGAAAATAAAATTTTTAAAAACGTTGCAATATTGTATAAAGCTAAACAGTTCTTAAACCAATCTTGTCTTAAATACATATACTATTTATTTATACATTGTTACCTAAACTATGCTAACATTGCTTGGTGCAGCACCAATGTTACAAAACTAAGTAAACTTCTCCGGAAACAAAAACATGTCATTAGGATTATTGCAAATGAAAATCGCCTCTCTAATACAAAATTACTTTTTAGCAAACTTAATATTTTAAATGATTTTAAATTAAATATCTAACAAATTCTTATATTTATGTTTATACTTAATAAAAAAAAATGGCACTACTTTTACTCAACTCTTTATTTAAAAAAAATCATATATACAGCACAAGATTTTCAAATAATAACTATACTCAATCCAAAACATATTATTCTGCCACCAAATACTCAATTACAAATCGTGGTCCTAAATTATGGAATACACTTTTAAATAATGATCTTAAAACACTTTCTTCACTTAATCGATTTAAAACTAAACTAAATCAAAATCTTTAACTAAACGACAATGACCTAAATTTCTTCTAAAGCATTTAAATGAGCGTACTATTATTAATAATTTTCAGCAAAACACTTATTTTTAACAATTTAATTTTAGTAATTGTTTATTACTAAGATTATTTAATCAGAAACATAAATATAATGAATAATTTTTAACTAATAGTTTTTTTTTTGATCATTTATAATAATAATTTTTTATTACTTTTTTTTTATTTATTTTTTTTATTTTGTCTTTATTGTTTGTTTTTTTCTTCTTATTTGCTGGCCTTTTTTTTTGGTTTGTTATTTTATTCCCTATTTAAAATATATTTTTAGCAAACTTTCGCTATTTAAAACTTGAAAGGTTTGTAACTTACATTATTAAAGTTTTTATAAGCATTTTAACTTACGGTGTATTTATTACGGGGTTTAGTGATAAGACAACTACAGTCTCCTTTTTGCCCCGTTCATATTTTATTTTTATTCATGTTCTTTAGTTTTGTAATTACTCATAGCGACGAATTACATATAAAAATTTACATATATATATATATATATATATATATATATATATATATATATATATATATATATATATATATATATATATATATATATATATATATTGATATATATTGATATATATATATATATATATATATATATATATATATATATATATATATATATATATATATATATATATATATATATATATATATATATATATATATATATATATTTATATAAATACATATATATATATATATATATATATATATATATATATATATATATATATATATATATATATATATATATATATATATATATATTTATATAAATACATATATATATATATATATATATATATATATATATATATATATATATATATATATATATATATATATATATATATATATATATATATATATTTATATATATATATATATATATATATATATATATATATATATATGGAAAAAATTTAAGACCAAAAAAAATAACATATATATTTCTTTCTTAACTACATTCGAAATGGTTTCCTAGCATCTTTTATTGAATACGTAGTATAATTATTTAATAGTGGTATATACATTTAGCTACTTTTTTCTTTTATTTCTTATTTACTTTTTTTTCTCTGGTTTTTGGCGAAGTTGGAACCCATGGCAAGTTTAGATCGAAATGGTGAAGTTGTATTTTTATTGTTGGTTTTTGGCAAATAAGGTTTATAATATTTTTTAAAAATAAATTTCTACCATAGTTAGAAAACCTAATTATAAATTCGTACTACCAACATCAATTTAGTTAAACGTATTTTAGATAAAACAAAGAAGGCGGTTAGTTTAAGTACCTTTAATGACTCCATTAAAACTCTGACTGATTTTTGTGACACTCTGTTTGACAAACTTTTTAAGATTTAAAATTCAAATGAAGAAATACTTAATTAAATTAAAGAAAAAAAAGATCTTAAAGAAGAGGAAGGTAGAAGTACTGACTTATTTTATATCAATCAATGCTATTTGCAATGACTAAGTTTATTGACAAATTTGATTGTAGTTCAAAGTGTGTTTTAAATAGCCCCTACAAAGGTAATATAATGAAGAAAATTCTATCTTTAAAGCTAAAACCATTTAATCGTAACCCTGAACATTGACAAAGTTCATGTAAATTTTAAGTCTGCAATAGATAATAATGAAGACTAAAGTCCAGTTCAGAAACTAACTATAGAATTATAGAAGGGCAAGCGTATTTTACTATAGCAGCGCTTGCACTCACAAGTGATAATTGTAAATTGCATTAATTTTGTTAAAAGAAATATTTGATAATAAAAAATTAAATATATTTTGAAATATGAGAACATTATTGTGGATTAAACGAATTATTAATTTTAAAAGTAAATTGTCTCCTGGTAGAATTTAAATCACAAAATTCTAATAAAAAAACTTGAAAACTATGGAGTGAAAAATAAAAACTTCCTTTGGTTCAAAGGATATCTAACAAACCAGAGGCAATTTTTATATTATGATTAAAATAACACAATTCCATATTCCATAACTTGCGGGGTTCCTCAGGGCTCCATTTTAGGACCACTCTTATTTCTATTGTACATAAATGACTTATACCTAGCAACAAATCTTTTAGACCTAATTTTGTTTGCTGATGATTCCAATCTTTTTTATTCTCACAGAGACATTAAAACACTTTTAAATAGTTAATGAACAGTTATGTAAAGTTAATGAATGGTTGGTAAGTAACAAACTTTCATTAAATGTGGATAAAACAAAATATATACTCTTCCATAAAGGAAATAAATCAGAAAACATAACTATAAAATTACCAAATCTTATAATTAACAATACTTATATTAGAAGAGAAACAAACGTAAACTTTTTAGGAGTAAAACTGGATGAAAATTTACTGTGGTATTCTCATTTAAATAGTATTGAAACAACACTCTCAAAAAATATCGCAATGATTTATAAGGCTAAACCTTTTCTAAATGTAGCATCCCTGAAAAAATTGTATTTTGCCTTTATTCACAGCTATTTGTCTTACTGTAATATTGTGTGGGCTAGTACTGGCTATACAAAACTTAAGAAAATCTACAACAAACAAAAACATGCATGCAGAATAGTGTTTGGAGCCTGCAGAAATACTCCTTGCGAACCACTTTTACGCGCACTCGGTGCTTTAAATGTGTATAAACTCAATTTACACCAAGTTTTATTGTTTATGCTTAAAACAAAAATGGGATTGTCCCCAATAATTTTTCAAACCTATTTTAATAAAATTAATCATAAAACAAAAAACAAGACTACATTAGAACAATTTAAAAATGAATCAAAACAATTATTACTATTCAGGGATCTTAATTTATCTGACATCATATGTTTCTTTTAAAATTTAATCAAATAAAAACAAATTTATTTATATCAATCAAATTTAAGTAATGATGTTAAAAATTCATTATGTGATAATGTTAATTATGAAATTTTATTCTTATCAAAACTTTTTTTTTAAATAATTTTAAAACATTTTAGCGGTTGCTAGCATTTCGACAATTCTTATTTGCTATTTTGAATTTCTTAATTTTCTCAGTTACTTTCTGTTTTAATTCTTACCTATATTTTATATATTTATATTATATACATTTGTATGTTACGGTTATGTAGAGTTTTTTTTTATATAGAGTTTTTTTTTTTTTTTTTTTTTTTTATATGTGGGGCTCGGCGATAAGGCAAAATGTGCCTTCTTCTTGCTCCTGCCATTAGTTTTGATATATGTATATGCAATGTAAACATTCTTTAACGGCGAAATAAATTACACTTAAAAAAAAAAAAAAATTTGTAATAATATAGAAATTCAAGTAGTAAATTTTGAATATTTGGAATTGATTACAAATAATATGGACATCTTTTTATACCTGTAATTATGCGGAAAAATTTAGAAGAACATAGTTTAACTGTCTCAAGAGAATTCTCTGATGCTAGTAACTGCTGGGATATATTGATAAGTTGTATTGAACTGAAACTCAAGTTTTCAAATGAAGCCCGCTTAGTAAAAAAGAATCTCAGCACTTTACTGCAGAAATATTATATTCGAGTGGAGAAATGAAAACACGAAATAAGTTGAATAATTTTAACGGCTAATTATAGTACATTTTTTTCAATAGAAATCACAAACCCCAAGAATGCAAAATGGTTATAAGTTTAGATGAAAGAATAAAAATTTTAAAACAGATAAGAAGATGTTTTAAATGTTTAAAAATAGGACATATTACTAAAAGTTGTAATACTAAAATGAAAAGTTTTACTTGCTCAAATTTGCTTCATGCATCAATGTATACACGTGAATCATATAAAATGGATATTCAAGAAAGTTCATCATTTTTAGTAACTGGCTCGTTATTAAAGTTAGAAAGTTCAATTTTATTGCAAACAGCAAAAGCCATTGTGATTTTAATTAAATATAGTTATCCAACACGTCTTTTATTTAATAATTGTTCACAATTTAGTTACATCACATAATTGTTGCAAAGTAAACTCATTTTCAAAAAATTTAGACACAAAGAGAATCATTATTAATACATTTGGAAATCAGAGTGAAACTAAAGATTTAGAAAGGGCTCAATAAACTGTTAAAGGGACTAATGGTGGTTTTGTTGTAAGTTCTTGTTTTGTCGAAAACAAGAATTTACAACTTGCTTGTTCTTAATTTTGATGATAAATTTTTAGTATATATAATTTATATACATTTATATATACAGTTTTAATATTAAAATATTTACAATATTAACTCGTAAGTCCATGCCGTAATATTACGCAAACTAAAAGTGGTTTCTAAATGTCCATGCCTTAATATTACGGTTTTGTGCATCTCTTTATATTTCCTTCTTGTTCATCAGTAGATATACGTCTAATTGTCACAAAAGTTATTGCTAGATTATTACAGAGCTTTTGTTTCAATAATTGTCTTTTAAACTTGTGTAAATGCGATGAACAAAGTACACTGTTTGATTTCATTAATATCACGTCAATTCATCTAACATGTGATAGTTATGGTGGCGCAAGCTTTAGTATTTTTTTCCACAATTCAATTAGTTTTTTAGAAGATGATGCTCTTTTCAAAGGTCAAAACGTCAAACTCTTCGAAAAATTAGTGTTTATCTTCTATCTCACACGGCTAACTCTATGTTGCGTGTTAAAGAACAAGACTGCTTTGTATGTTATTTTGAAAAAAATCTGTTTGCTATAATAATATAAAAAACCAGATCGCTTGATCGTATTTTTTTAAGTTGTTTAACGTTTGTTATAACGTATGTAATTAAACAAATATTACAGAAATAAGGTTGTATTTTATAAATGTTTCTAATTTATATAGTTTCCTTAATTTATATATATTAAATTACATTTATGTCTTATTTATTATGTGTTTATATGTGTATAGGGTATATAGGTTTGTATTTTGTAAGTACGTATCTTTTATATATAAAGTGTTTCTATGTTTGTGATGTGTTATAATATTACGTGTTTTATAGTTTGTTAGTGATTATTATGTTGATTTAGTGGTTGTAAGTTGTTGTAAATCGGTTTAGCTTACAGCAATAATGTTGAACTCGCTAGCCAAATGGTGTACTTTGCTATAATGTGACTTAGCTTTGTTGAGAGCGAGAAATTTGACCGTTTCAATGAAGTGGTGTACTTTTAACTGGGGCTACTTTACTGCGTTTTTAATGGTTATTTTACCGCAGTTAAATTTAGTCATGATAAAAAATTTGCTAAATTAGTTAAATTTATTTTTTTAATTTTTAATACGCTGTCAAAACTGGTTTATGAAGAAAAAGTTCAAATGTGTTTTGATTGAGGTTTTCAACGTTTTCAATGTTATAAACAAAAAAAAAATCTCGCTCAAAAAACTTATTTGAATGTAGACAATTCCGCAAAACACTATTTTAAATAAGTATAACTTAAAAAATGGTTTTAAAGTTAAAAACATAAATCTTACCCAAAAATTTAATTTAAGTATAACATTTAGTTCAGGAATTTCAAAAAACACTTCTTTAAATAAGTAAAGTATTTTCTTTTAAATAAACAAACGTTACCCATATAAATAAACAAACTTCAATGCTGTATGTTGACGTTTACTCGTAACTCCCATCATCAAACAACTCTGGTACCGAAAATATCCCTCTTTTGCTTAAAAATTTAGGGGGGCCTATACCTCTAACTATCCTATCCCATGCGTAAAAAAGTGCGTTTTTTTTTTCTTTTTTCTAAAGTAAATTTACCTTATTAATTATTGTTTTTTTTTGGTATATTAAACAGATTTGAAGCTACATATTGACTGAGTGTTGCTTTTTTTTATTAAATCTAAGCATATTTGAAATGTTTCATTTGAATAATTTTTGTAACAACAAATTCCTAACATTCTTTTGTCATGCCTTACCATCCTTATAAATAATATGCATCTGTTAGCAACGTTTTAAACCATTAAATGTAAAAAAATAAGAGCCTAAAGTACTTTTCACTATTCTCTTAACTGGTGCAAAGTACTTTTTTGTCAAAACTTGACAATAAAACTATTTTTAAATAACACCTTCTTAAATAATGTGAGTTTTTAACCTTCATAAAAAATAAAAATTTACTAATTTAAAAACATATTCATTTGATTAAAAGCTGTTTTAATAATTTTTTTCATATTTTTCAATTTTGAAATTAGCTTACTAAAAATTCATATTCAAACTCAAAGGAAGCATGTTCATATAAGTGAAAAACCCACTGTTAAAACATATGAGCCATGTAAATATAACAAATTCAATCTTGTTCATTTTAACATTACTAGTTCTTTAATCATTTTCAAAACATTTGTTATACTTTTTTTATTACTTTTTTTATTATATTTTATACCACAAAGTCTCTAATAGTTAAATTAGTTTTAGTAATTTTATAAATTGAATGATTTTAATAAAAATTAGAAAAATTGTCTTTTTTATTTGAATATATACATATATAAATATATATATGTATGTATATATATATATATATATATATACATATATATATATATATATATATATATATATATATATATATATATATATATATATATATATATATATATATATATACATATATATATATATATATATATATATATATATATATATATATATATATATATATATATATATATATATATATATATATATATATATATATATATATATATATATATATATATATATATATATATATATATATATATATATATATATATATATATATATATATATATATATATATATATATATATATAAGAGATTCATATTTTAAAAAAATCTAATTTAAAAGAATAAATATTACTAAAGAGTTAAGAAAAATTAATACTTGAAATTTTGTAGTGTTTTGCTTCTTTGACTGCTTTTTGTTAATAATATAAATATATGTATATATATTTTTAAATCAGTCGAGCATTTGCTAAAAGTATATTTATAACTTTCGTTTGAATACATATTGTTTTGAAAGTCAATAGGCAACACACA